CTTGACTTATCAATGCATCCACTATCCTTTCAAATGACTGGACAATACTGACAATACAATCAATTGATCATTTATAAAACACTAGTCATACTTATTTGATTGATTAGCTACTACTTGTGGTAGCCATTCTTGTACACTATCAAGTATTCGAACAGTGCCCTCTGTTGTCTATAAAGCACAATGATTCAGTAATCAGTTATAACTTTGTTCATACCATAGAAACTTCGTCAGTAGAAAATATCATGTTTATATTAGGACTAGATAATAAAGTAGCAGTTTGATCAAGGAGTGATGATACATTGCGTAGATTATTTTCATCTTGATCACCAGTCAATCTGATGATGAACTGGAAAAAGGATTGACTAGGACCTAAACAAAATTAATGATGAAAATGGACTAATGTAATATTTTTAGGCACTAATGGTGGCACATAGGCTCAGATGATTGGAGCAATTTTATACTGCCATTTGTCCTGTTGCTATTTTGCTTTAACCACCAAAGAGCTGCTTTATAATGCCACAGAAAAGACAAATCAAGCATTTTTCAGACGGAGAATAACTTTTTTGTGGGCCAGTGTAATACTACATTCAACAATGTTGCTTTCAACATTTTCCAAGCCTTTGTGATGTGGATGTGGTCAAGCAACAGAAAACCTTCCTATTCCTTTTAACAAGGTTAGTGCCCAAGAATTTAATCACACCCACGCGCTTGCTCGCGTAATGGCTTCCCCCACGCTAATCACTGGCCAAAAATCACTACCATACTGTAGTATCTATGCTGGCAGGCAAGTCCAATAAAACCTTTTCCCATTATATCTACAACAAACTTTCTGGCTACTACTGCTCTCCATACAAAAAGGGCCAGGCCTATAGCATGTACTCATATTATAGTCTCAATGCAAAACTTACATCTACCTCGAATTCCTCCCCTCATTATATTTTAGACTAAATTATCCTGCATGCTCTTTAGTTACTATCTTCCTAACTGATTTATTTTATTTTAGTGGATCTAGTCAATTACTAGTAGCCCTTCAAAGTTTGTTGGGTCCATTGAGCCTCTATTTGTTCATCTGTTCACACTTTGTAAATAAATAATGAGTCTATAGATCTATATAGATATGCACTCACGTAAAAATTCATGCACAAGCTGTTCCACAAAGCTGACACAATATTTTAACATGTAGATCTTTACTACTAAACACAATAGCACTATACTTACGCGAGTCTACATTATATATGAGATACAAAAGCAGAGTTATTGCACTAGTAACCCTTGCAAGAAGTAGAGCCATGAACACAGTGAACTAACCATGGGGCGGATCTGGGATACGAGTGTACGTGTAGGGCAATAATCATATTTACGAGGCGTGTCTTATCAATCTAAACAATGAATATAATTATTTCAGCAATGAATTAATTATTTCGCAATAAATATAATTAGTAAGCATTCCACCCATCCTCTAAAAGCGATTATAATTTATGGGTTCTGTTGGCATTTCCTGCAAAGAGTAAAATTTTAATGAGAACTAGTAGTGTCATACCCTATCCACTGGCTTTTATTATTTTTAATTCCTTGTATATTGTATGAAGCAGATTTAGACTAATTCTATTTAGACTAATTCTATGTTACCATTACTTTAAAAAGTAAAAAACACAGTAACAGTACCAAGAACACACAAAACTAACTGTAAACTAATGAAAATGTTGAATGTTTTCAGGGAATGATAAAAAGTTAAAATTTGTTCTCATGAGCATCTTTTTCATCATTGTCATAAGAATCAACATCAACTTGCTCAACATGACGAGTGTGCTTAAAATTTGAATGACGTTTGACATGAGCTCCTTTGAGTTGAACCAAATTCAAGTCACCACTTTTCTTTTGACTATCACGATCAGCTAGCCCATCCTCCTCTTCAACCAGAGGAGGAAGGGCATTTTCGTTATTAGCTTCTGACAACTTGGCTAGAACAGATTTCTCATTTAAAGTGTTGTCTTTTGATTCAAAGGTGCTCGAAGAATATGTGTTAGAGCTAGTGTCATTGGACAACCTCTTCTTGTTATGATTTGAAGAAGAAGAGATAATATCTCGACGTCTTTTGCCCT